AGGGTTTTTCATTTTTTATTTTTCAAACCCCCCCCCTCCAAAAAAAAAAAAAAAAAAAAAAAAAAACCCAAAACAATTAAACCCTTGAAATTTGTTGCTTTTTTTAAGCTTCTTTTCTTTTCAGTAAGATTGGTGTTTGCATATAGTGGGAGGTTTTTAATTGTCAGTTGCCCAATAGGGAAATGGTGTAACCAACATCTTGTTTCAGTGGTGTCGCTTCAAACCCTAATTCATTAAATTGACTCTCAACATCACATGAAAACCTACCACAACATTTCTGATAAATTGAAACAGTACACCTAGTACTATATTTGTTTTGATGTATTAAAAAAAATCCCACAACAAGAATATTAAACTGGAAATCAAAAGTTTGTTAGCATCTGTTTAATAGTTTTTCTTTGTGTTTCTGCATGGTCACGTCTTTTGTCAGGCATAAATCAAGCCATAGTTAATGTTTACCCTTATGTTTTTACACAGCAGTTGATTTATGCAACATTTCCTTGCTTGCTTTTTTCAATCTATAAATCTAGCTTGTGTGAAGGGCATGAAAAATGTCTGTCAGATGCACAGAGAAACTCTTAGAACAGATTCGTGTGCTTCTGAAATGACTTTGGTTTCTTAAAACCATTGGAAATGTTGAGCAAAGATCCTTTTACTTTATCAGTTTTAAGGATAATAGCTGGAGTCATCATACTTTTCTCAGACTAAAAGTATTTAAATAATCTTTTTGCACATTTTTTTATTACAAACCAGTAACTATTCCACTACTTCAGGCGAATCATTAGAAATATTAGCAATAATTCAAACATACATGTAGTTATACAAACCAGAAACATATTCTTTTTGTTTTTAGGTTTTACTATGCATGCAGCTTTGTAAATGCTAACACATTAAAATGCTGATATTTTATTTTTTGAATGTTACATTAAGTTTCAAGGGCTAAAAGACACTTGCATAAATAAAATTTTAACTGTTGTCATTCATATTTATATATATGTTTATCATCAAGACTGTAGTACATATTTGAAAATGTCCTCACATGGCATAACGTCAATTAAAATACACTTAAAACCTCCAAGTCTAGATCAAACAAAACCAAATAAACCCAGTAACGATACAGTTTCACACCTGTTAGCTCAAGCTTGATGACTTTCAAGCCGTTTTTCATCTAGTTATCTTGTTTGCCCTCCATTAAAAATGCCACAATTAAGTAATAAAAACATGAAATGGTTCAAAGATTTCCAGAAACTTCTCCCTGAATAACGTCTATAAGGTGCTCAACTGGCTAGCAAGTACAGCTTTAGCATTAAGCTAGCTAAGGCTCTATTCACAGTTAAATTAAAACTATACCCCTGATAAACATACCTGCCCAACTGTTTTCTGTTGCAAAAAAGATACAATTAAGGCATAAAAATTATGAAATAGTTAAAAAGCTTTTAAATCTATTTTAAAACCTTCTCCCTGAATGCCGTCTTTCAGGACCTCAACTTGCTAGCAAGTTCAGCATTAGCGCTAAGCTAGCTAAGGCTTTATTCAAAGTTAAATTATGAACATATAACCCGCATAAACACACCAGCCTTACTGATCTCTGCTGAAAATGGTGAACTGGAATTGCGGCTGACTAAACAAACACCATTAGATTTTCATTAAAATGTTTAAGTTTACAAAATAAAGTGGCTACTGGTCAAACTTAACCCTTATCTGACACTAGATTTTTAAAAACTAAATCTAGCTTGAATCTAGCTTGATTTAAAGTGTGAGTAATTTTATGGCTTATATCTCTCCTCTCCAAAAATGTATTTTTATAGTTCATAATAAACACCCAAAAGCTCCAGAAACTGTGAACTGCACCAGCCAGTGTTTCCTCTGAGACGGATCTCATAAGCCAGCTGTGTATAAAGGCCTTTGATGTAAACGTATCCACATTGAGCTGGACGCTCCATTGAACCTCCTTTCTTAGCCTTCATGCCATGTTAGGTAGTGACAAGGTAGGAAAACATAAACCTAGACAGAAAAGAATACAAAAACAAAAAAACAACAAAAGAACAGCAGCGCTTTGGTGTAGATATGTGTTGCTAATCAAGCGTATGCAGTGCAGTTTCAAAATGAGTTTCCTTGGGCTGTTATCTGCTTGCTGAGCTATAATAAAAGAGGAAGAGAAACACCACAGAGCCCACAGACTCACGCCAGGCAAGTGACGTCAGCAAGTAGACAGGAGACAGTTTTGTAACCCATCCACCCGACAGAGGAAGGAGGGAAATAAGACACAACAATCAGTTTGAATCTTTATTGTATCACCAGGTAATTAAAAAACAATTTCACAGAGGTAAGCCACCACGTTGCCATTACTTTAGGTTTATTCTTCCCATATCAGGTCTGTATCAAATTTGGTCGTAACCAGTGCAGGCCGTTTGATTTCCTAAAGCGGGAAGTGCAGCAGCGTGACAGCCGCTTCTGAATGGAGTCTTTTTGCTCAAGGGTGGAACTGTGGATCAGGTCAAATCATAGACAGACTTTTGTGTTTGCTAAACTCCCAGTGACCCTACACTTTTTCCTTCCTTAACACACAGACAAGATGGTCAGGCGGAATCCGAGATGTATCGGCACGATAGCGAATGAAGTGCAAAGGTTCAGTCGCGGAAAGGTCACGGCGTGGTCAATTTATTGTTTCTGAAACAAAGTTAATTCACTCCTGACATCTAAAGCGGGGCTCTCGTTCTCTAATGCGACAATTTAGTTACATGGGAAGATCTTCAACTTAGATACACTGATTGGATTATATAAATATTCTTAAAGCACATAAGCAAAGAAATCTGAAAAGTGTGGCATTGATTTGTACAAAGTTCCCTTTACTCAGATATCTTGTGTTGTCATAAAATTCCCCCCCAAAAAAGACACTGAAATTTGTGGCTGCAATATGACAAAAAAGTGAATTTAAGTGTACCTTAAATTCTTTTTGTTTAAAAATTGTATACCTTTATTTTATCTGTACTTTTGTCAGACTGAACTTTTAAACCTTGCGAAGGTTTAAAGGTGATTGGTAGATACTAGAGAACCTTTGGCTTTTCCATTTGCACCTACTGCTTGATCCAATTACGGCGTTAGAGGGTCAAGGAGATAAGCATCACTTGGAATCAGTGAAACATGATTGGATAGCACGCATCAACTTGACACACACTTCAATGGACCAGCACAGACTCAGACTCCCTCCAAAAAACACTAAAATGTCACTCCAAGCCAGAAGCCCAATTACGTGATGATGTTGGTGTGAAACCCCCTACAGCTTTCCTCATGCGACATGGGTAGGTCAGACCGACCTGCTCTCTGCTCTCTTGTCTCCTTTTCAGTCGTTTCTTAGACACATTTGTTTGTTGCACTGGCATCTGTTGAGGAAAATCACCTTCCACCATGAACAGTGCGTGATCAGGCCTCGGTGCCACTGCTACAGCTTCCCTCTTCCTCTTTCTTCCGCATGCGATGTTTGTACGTTCGTGCAACAAGTTGTGAAGATGTACTGCAGCTGAAAGCACAGACGGTGCTTAGGTTAATGTACACCTACTGCAGGCTGAATCACTTTCTTAACATCCCTTTCCTTGATTTAGGTGCACTAGAGCCGCAGTTTGTTTTAAATGTCGTGTTTGTTGACAAGAATTAGTCAAGCGCTTCTCAAGAGAGTGGCAAGAGAGTAAAACATTACTTTTACTTTGAAACAAGCTGAATTTAAACCAGTACACCTTTGCTTTGCCCATCTATTGGCCTATTTTTGCTTACTGTACTTTGACTAGGCTGGTTTTCCTCTTGCTCAGGTTACATTTTCAAATTTTAGTAAGTTCTAGCAATTCAAAAATTCAAAAACAAGACACAGATATGTTTGGTTCTTCATTTTAATGTGCGACTCTGCCCACCCTCTTCAATACACTCCGTCTGAAATGGTAAAACACAATTGTTACTATCTAGTACTAAAGAATAGCAATGCTAATCCCTTGTGTGTGCTAAGAAGCATGACAGTTAAATCAAGGAATGACCCTGGATTTGTTGGGGCCTCTCAGTCGCCGTAGACATTGAATTCACTTCAACAGAGTGGGACTTTTTAAAGGAAAGGGGGCCAGCAGAGCCCCTCAAGATCACAGAGGCCATAAGTGAATTACTCCCATCAGTACTGCAGAGGGGGCTCCATTAGACTCCTCACTGTAACAGCCAGAGGCAGCCACGCAGCACTGGGTGATGTGTTTGTGTGCAAACAGTCGGGTATAGTGTGTGTTTCGGGTGTAAGTGAGTATGAATAGACAGCCAGGGACTCCTGCAGAGAGAGCAGAAGCCTTTGTTGGTCCAACACCATTGTTGGAAGCTGTCGTGTGCAATTAGTGTCACGGCTGCCGCTTAGCGAGGCGCTCCGCCTCAGCAAGGGGAGCGCAGAGGGATAAGGAGGGAAGCAACAAGCACTCCAAAGCCCCTGGAGATTAACTTGATAATTATATTATGGTGACACTTTAACAGTGCAGCAATGCTGCAAAACATGCTGACATTTCCCAGCTGTTTTAAAACGGCATGTTCAATTTACACGATTACAAATCTTACATGCTGCTCTGAAGAAAACTGTTTGGCTGAGGGAGAAAACCAGTTTGTCTTGTGCTGTTTAAATACAAGCTGCTGCACATTTCAGAGATTATTTCACATCATTCCAGGTTAGGAATTTACATCAATTCCCCTTTACAACAAATACACACCTTGTCGGTCTTTACTCTAACATTTAGCATAGCTTAGAGATTTAGCCTTCCCAAGTGTGATAAAAACAAAGTTATCATCAGTAGTTATGAAATTAGTTTTTTCACCTCTGGTAGAAAGATGTTATGTCACTATTAACTTCTAAAAAAATAAGGAAGTCCTCAGAGTGGTGGAAGGCTAACAGGTACCCAGACAGTTTTAGCTAGCCGCTGTTTTAGCTAAATTGATCAATTTCAAGAACTCAAGCAGAAAATGCTTATATGCTTGGGATAATGTGCTGTATTTAACATCAATGCTTACACAGTAGACCGTTGTTACATCTATTGCTGTTCTTTTAGTTAAGCCATTAGTTTAATATCCAATATGGCTGCGTAAACTCTTTGTTAGCACTTTTTGATGGTTTGGGTCTCAATAAATAGGACACACAGTGGTATATAATGTCAATTTGTGAACATGGTTGTTTTGTATTTGTACAAATTAAATTGAGGGAAATTGTTACTGGCTTACATTGCTAACAGTGGCTAGCAAACTGCACAGTGCCGTGATTCCCACATGAGACTAACCAAACACACAGAAAACTGCAGAGTGGAGTTTGTATTTTAGTTACTGGTTTGTCATTCATATGATGGTATCAAAATTTAACTTTTTCAAAATTGTCCAGGTTTAAAAATGATCACACAGGATGTTGTTTGGTTCAGACAACAGAGACAACCGAACAACTGTGGTGTTAAATAAAGTTGAAAGAGGTAATGTTTGATATCTCCCAATACCTTATACACTAAAAATAGCTTTTTAATTTTGCTTAAGTAGCCAAAATGCGCTAAAACAAGCAGTTAGCCTTTCAATATGAAGGGGGATTCCTTCTGTTTTCTTCAAACTAACTGCAATGTAACATCTTTCTATTAAAGTTATGGAAGTGTTACTGAGAAAAACTTCTTGAAATCTCACTTTTAAAAAATCCAAAGTGTCTCTTTAAGCTTCAGAACTGCTATTTTTATGTTAGGAACTTCAAAGTCAAACAATTTCCCGTAAGTTTCCTAAACGTTGGCTGTTTTCAGAAGAAAAGCCCTACTGTGCTTTGTTTCACTTCTAGCATTGACTGAATATTATATCATAATATAATATCCCGGATAAACATGGACGCCAGCACATCATCCTCATGGGTCTCAGTAGTGCAGTCTGCCTATGGCCAAAGCTGGTGGAGGGATACACAATGTGCTTTGCCTGATGAATGAACCGTGACACTGCCGCTCTGTCAGGAGGCAGTAGAGAAAACGTCGAAGAGGCAAAGTTGTAGTCAACGTAAGAGAACAAATTGTAGCTTGCTGACCATAATTATTGATTGCTCTACAAACGGCAGACAGAGCAAAAGAGAGGAGGCACGTGCCTTTGATAAGCTGCCTCACTGATAAAGATCGCGTTGGTTTTTCGAAGCAAGAGACTGACGAGACAGCCTCACCACATTTAACACATGTATGCACTGTCATCCGCCCGTGTCTGCATGCTGGTTTCATCTGGCTGTTTGCTGTATCCGTCACCCCCCATTTATCTTAATCAAAGCATGCATCAGTGTGCACAAACTGTCGGAGCCCTCCCCCTCCCCCCACGCTGATCGATATGTTTCCATGCGCTTGAAAAGATTGCGGACCAAAGCGGCATCTGACCCGATACAGCTCGATACGCTAACTACCGTCAACCAGACGAGGTCCCGTTTCAGCTGCATTTTGATTAAAAAACAAAAAACAGCAGGGCATAAACCCGGCTGAGTGAAAATAGTTCCTCAGAGCATGTCACATGAAGTTAAGAGTTAGCCGAGGAAGCTTTGGGGTAGGTGGAGGGGGTATATTGTTTTATTTAAGCTCAGAGATGCACGATCTAATCTGAATGAATGCTGACGCGGCATCGTAGGCAGATACAGTTGTGAGGAAGGGGCAGAGTAATTAAAGAGGACAAGAGAATGTGTTTGAAAGGTTTCTGTGCTTCTCGCTGGCTGGCAGGGTCTTCGCTACTGTCTCCCACATCAGTCTGAACTTTCAATGAACTCTCGCTCGCAGCTGAATTATGATCGAATGAGTGAGCTGGACGAGGAAAATAATGATAATTTCTTTACGATGCGAGAGAGACGAGCAGATGGACGACTCTTCTCTATCGAGAACAAACGCGCACGTGCGCGATGCTTTCTTGTTGTCGGGGGAAGGAGAATGAAGACGTAACGAGGCTGAACCTCGGCCGACGGCACCTCTGATTCACCGGCACTCAGGTGCATTGTTACAGGGGCAAACATCTCACCAAGATACACAGGTGTACATTAAGATATGTGTGTGTGTGTGTTTCTGCTGAGCGTAGAGGGAGGGAGTGAGAGGAAGAGACAGCCAGTGAGGCAGTTGCGTGACTTGTGCTTGTTTTAGCTCTGCAGCCTCCAGGCAGAAGCTGTTAGCCAGCAGAAAGGAAGGTGTAATGTAAATGTTCCACGGTAAACAGAGCGCCAAACCGGATTTCATCCAAGCGTTGCATCGTTTTCTGTGTGCTGACATATAAAAATAATAATTTATCCTCCCAAGTGGGAACTCTTTACATAATATCTGTTGGGAAAAGTTGGAAACCACCGCAACTATGCAGGTAAAAATTCCCTGGAAGATATTTCAAATTATTAGTCTTTTTTTTAAATGAGAAGTCATCTGTAAGTAACTACTTCACTTACATGCTCAGCAACCAAAAAACCCCCACAGGGGGAATTAGTTGTAAAAGCTCTGCAAAGGTTTCTGAGTGGTTTGAACCGCAGTTCAAGTGGAAAAGAAAGATGAGCAGGAAAAAGGTCGAAGACATGATGGGAGAAATTTTTAATTTTTTTTTAGCTATCTATTCTCCAAATTAGCAACTAAGAATTATTATTTAGCTCAAATGAATAAAATCTTTTGGTGCTGCTTTCCTGTGCTGAATGTGTCGGAAGGAGCATGAGCTTCTTAAAGAGACAGAGCTCAATTTCACGGTGTTAAATTGTCAAATTTCTTTTGAGTTGTGTTTGATATTTGAGCATTTTTCTTACCACTGAAGATGCACACTTGATTAAAATGTAATAAAATATAACTCTATACTTGGAAAATAGACAACACCACCCCTTTAAATGATTGCTTTAATATAAAGCATCATAGATACCATCAATAGAGCTGTAATATTTGATGTGTTATATTGTGTCATCTGTTATACAAGTAATTGTTTTTCAGATTTAAATACATTTATTTCTTAATGTATTTTTTGGATTGAAATGTCAGTGTTGTCATGTAGGGACAGCTTACTGTCAGAACATCCACTGAACATGCAGGATGTGAGCCGTTCTAGTTGAGAGGCGATGACTGACTTTCTGTAGTGTCTTCAAAGTTACACTTCACTTACTTTTATTGCAGGCATCCGAGCTGACACCTTTAATCCCCTCAAATCTCAGATCTTCGCTCTGAAGCCAAAACAAACCCCCACCTTCTGCTTTTTTTTCCCCCTCTCGCCGTTCATCATACAGCCGTTTCACTACAACTGCTGTCTGCCGCCAGCAGCTCAGCTGTCACTCTTTTTCAACTCCTACAACAGAGACTCTCACTTTAAATGACGCGTCTGACAGTTTATCAACTCTCTGCCGCGCTCAACACTTGAATTGCGGTTACATTAATGGACTCTAAACACTCCTCGTGACCTTTTTTTTTTACGTAGCTGCCTCAGGTGGCGGCGCCTTGGACCTTTTTTCTCGGAGGCTAACTCAGCGCTGATCTAATTCTTTAAGAACGGGGTCGCGACCTCTGACAG